CGATCGAGCCGGTTGAGGCTGGATGAACAAGACCCCGTGGAGGGCTGGATGAACAGGACGACCCCGTGGAGGGCTGGATGAACAATAGACGATGAAGGGGTGGATGAATAGTAGCCCGTGGAGGGGTGTTTGAACAGGAGCCCGTGGAGAGGGCTGGTTGAACAGTAGCCGGTGGAGTAGCTGGCGGTGGAGGCTAGATGAACAGGAGCTCGTGGATGAACAGTCACAGGTGGAGGCTGGAGGAGGTCGACGATGGATGAACAGTAGCCCGTGGAGGCTAGAGGAGGTCGACGGTGGAGATGAACAGTATCCCGTGGAGTCCCGTTTTGCGGTACCCCACACCCTCCCGATGAACAGGACCCCCGTTTCGACAGCAGCGCTCCAACACAAGTCTGTTTCCACCGTTTTGTGGTACGCCACACCCCTCCCGATCAATAGGACCCCGTTTCGACCGTAGGAGGTCCAACACAAGTCCGTTTCCTCCGTTTTGCGGTACGTCAGACCCCTCCCGATGAACAAGACCCCGTTTCGAACGTGGCCGATCGAACACAAGGCTGTTTCCTCCGTTCCGAGGTACGCCAGGCCTCGTTTCCATCGGCTGTTCCGTCCAAGCCCTCCCGATGAACACGACGACACATTCCATTCTGACCCAGCCGGTTGGCTCCCCATGAACACGACGACGACGCTGTTTCTCCGTTCCGACCCATCCATCTACACGAGCCCTGTCCGTATGTATGCGCGAGTAGGCATTCGAGACCCCGCTCGTACGTACGTACGTGGCCGTATTTTATTTTTTGCACGCTGGCCGCTATACGTACATGTACATGCTACGTGCGTGCCTCTACTACGACACGTGCGCGCCTCTACATCGACCAGTATGTACGTACATGTTCGCGACCAGAATGACAACGCTACATACGCTTCGACCAGGTGGGTTCCGTCTGTCAGGCACTTCCTTGCGTGCGAAGATGTAGCTGGTGGGTCGCAGCAGTCAGGGGGCAAATCATTTTTTTTGCCGATAATATAGACGCACTTCCTTGCGTGCGAAGATGTAGCTGGTAGGTCCCAGCAGTCAGGGGGGAAACATTTTTTTCGCGAAATACGGTGGCCCGTCCGGTGGGTCCTTGCTGTCACGTGGAGGAATCATTATTTTCCGCGTAATAAGGAGGCACTTCCTTGCTGCGGTCGTGGACCCAGCTGTTAGCCTCTCCACGTATAGTCCACGTCCGATGGAAGTCGTTCCATGACCACGTTGACCACACCGCGCCGAGAGCACCAGGGCGGTGGACGACGGCGAGGCCTAGGAAGGGGACAACGCAGAGCCGGGGAAGACGCGGCAGTGGAAGCCCGTGCGGAGAGGAGTACGAGGGTTTACTGGTTCGACTGCGGTGTGAGGCTGCCGTCGCCGTAGGGCCTGGCCAACGGTGGGAGTAGTAGGGGGCGGTGAGGCCTCTGCGGCAGCACAGCCGGCCACGGAAGGCAGGAGCAGGTGGCACAATTGGCGCTGCTTTGGGCGGCTGGAGCAAGAAGACCAGAGGTTGAAGAAGCACTACGGCCATTGGATGAACATCCTACGGTAACTGGAGCTAGAATCGTTCATATTGACTAAGTTGACAAAGCCCTCCATCCCTGTCAACTTAGTAGGCCCACAAGTCAGCATCCACTATGCTGGGTCCCAGCTAGCAGGGGGAGTATTCATTTTTTTGTGCATAATAAGGAGGCACTTCCTTGCGTGCGAAGATATAGCTAGTGGGTCCGACCTGTCAACGGGGGAACATTTTTTTCACGAAATACAGAGGCCCTTCCGGTGGGTCTCAGATGTCAGCTAGAGGAATCATTATTTTGCACGTAATAAGGAGACATTTCCTTGTGTGCGGCCGTGGACCCAGCTGTCAGCCTCTCCACATACAGTCCACGTGCGATGGAAGTCGTTCCATGACCACGTTGACCACGCCATGCCGAGAGCACCAGGGCGGTGGACAACGGTGAGGCCTAGGAAGGGGACAACGCGGAGCTAGGGAAGACGCGTAAGTGGATGCCCACATGGAGAGGAGTACGAGTGTTCACTGGTTCGGCTGCGGTGTGAGGCTGCCTTCGCCACAGGGCCTGGGTTAGCAGTGGGAGTAGTAGAGGGCGGTTGAGGGCTCAATGGTAGCACAACTGGCAACTGGAGGCAGGAGCAGGCGGTCTCGCCGGCGCTGGTTTGGGCGGCTGGTGCAAGAAGAGCAGCGATTGAAGAAGCAACAGGACTGTTCGATTCAAATCCAACGGTTACTGATGAGGGTATAGACTTAGGGTAGGGTCACATGCCTGACCTAGGTGCCCCACCCAAGGTCACTACCCTAGAAGCAAAGAAACCCAAGAGATAACGGGAAGTGCCCAAGGAAGGCGTCGAGTGTAAGTCACTCGACGACCACATCACTCGGGAACCCCAATTTTATGAAGATCACTCGACCTATGAAGACCAAGAGTCAGTCGGAATC